GAGCTATATAGTTTACTTGAACTATACCTAATATGTAACACAGACCGGTAAATTATTCTTCTTCTCCGATCAAAATTTCCAAAACGGACTGCCCTCTGCTGTTTGTCTGCTTCAACCAATGAGAAATTCGTCAGATGAAATTATGGCTTGGCTGCGCAAGAAGAAACTGTAATCTTCTGTGACTGTAGACTCCTTTGTGACTCCCTTGTTCCATTAGCGCCTTGTTTGCACCGACAATGGGCCTTACATTAATCCAAACTGGACACAACAGTCCATTTGACATTTCCGCTTGCGGTAATTATCAAATTCCACCCTTTCGAATATTTTTTTTCGCTCCGCCTCTGCCAAAATATGATTCATATTCCATGTCGACCGTCTTCAGATTTTGAAATTCATAAAGAATGTTAATTTTTTTCATATGATTTAATAAATAAAACATTCGACATACTTGGTATTCATTATTTTTTTTAGATAATCTCATGGGGAGTCGAACGAAATCCAAACATGGTTTCTCGACAGTGTCCGAAAAGCGTGTGGGATCTAGTATAATATTCCGTTGATCTCCATATGTATATGCGAAAGGCACCATATCAAATTTCAGCGGACTGAAAAATTTATCGTTTCCTTGACATTTCGGTGCTCATTATGATGCAGTGTTATTGTTATTTATTTCATAATTGTTCTGCCCGTTTTTGGGTAACTGTGAGTTTTTTATGTAGCTAGAATGTCTTCAAGTAAAAACAACAAGTATTCAACAACAGATTCATGAGAAAGAGCAATTGTAATCATCATTGTACAATTATATCATTTGATTTTCATGAAAGAGCTAAGTTGGTTCTATCTTCCATACAAAAAGAGAGCTTTGGAAAAGATTTGGTTCATTGAACATTAAAACCGCCAGAGCCTAATAATAATAATAATGTTTATTCACCATATTGATCACATATATACAGGGGTGCACAAAAGTCCGGAATTTGCATCTAGACGTACGATTGGGAGGTTTTTGAAAACAGAAAAATACCACCCATATAAGGTATGTCTTGTCCAAGAGCTCTTGGAAGATGACTATGACAGGCTTTTGCAATTTTGTGAGGAATTAATGAGGCGATGTGACGAGAATAATGGGTTTCCACTCAACATACTCTTTTCGGACGAAGCTACTTTTTAATAACATGGAGTATATAACAAGCACAACTATCGATTCTGGAGTCAGGAAAACCCACACTGGATATGCGAAGCTCGTACGCAGCGTCCTCAGAAAGTAAATGTGAGGGCAGGCATCATCAACAACAGAATATTAGGGCCACACTTTTTTGAAAGAAAACTTACAGCTGCACGCTACTTAGACTTTTTACGCTTTGAATTAGTCCCTGCTTTAGCTGTTATGTTTCCCAATGAAGCGGATCCAGATATCCCCACTGAAACACTTTGGTTCCAACAGGACGGCGCTCCCCCACATTTTGGTATTAATGTCAGAGAATATCTCGATGACATATTTGCAGGACGCTGGATTGGACGACGTGGTACAATTAAATGGCCGCCAAGATCTCCAGACTTAACCCCATTAGATTATTTTTATTCGGGATATATGAAAGACAAGGTTTATCAAAATGTGCTGGCTAATATTGCAGATCTAAAAAGCAGAATTATAGTGGAAACACATAACATACCGGCTGAGGCCATTCGGAATTCCGTAGACGGGTTTTACCATCGCCTAGGAGCCTGCCAAGTAGAGGATGGAGGCCAATTTCACCATCTGTTACGTCAATTCACCCGTAGATAGCACTAAATTAGGTATTTGTAACTTTTCAAAAGAGTTTTTTCTCATTTCGTTGTAACCACAAAAAAAGGGTATGGTCAGAGTCCATTTTTTACTAGCTTTTCAATGAGCCCATACACGACATAGGTTTGCATTTGAAAAAAAAAAGTTGGGGAGGGTTGCAGCTAAAGGGTTGAAAAAAAAATTTATTTTATTGTCAAAAAATATGTACCACGTGAAATCAGTTGACGTGTTTCAGCGTTTTCTTCCTGAAATACTGGTTAAAAAGATATTAATTTTATTCCGGACTTTTGCGCACCCCTGTATAACAGAGATTCGGTAAATAAACGTAAGCATCACAGAAATTAATGCTGAACAAGAGGCATTTATTAATCTAGTCAATATCAATGAGTCACCAAATATGCAAAATGTGCATGTTTATAATAATAATAATATAGTTTCAATAAATTGATGGATGTAGCCATTACTACGTGGTAGGAAGTCATACTGAAGAAAAGAGAAATGAGAGAAACTTTCTTGTTTTTTACCACTTTTGTAAAAGTGGTAAAAAAGCTACTGTATTAGCGAAATGTGATATTTTTGAAAATAAAGTTTGTGGATATCAAATTGTAAGGTGTAGTTTATGAAATTACTATGGATCGTCAACAAGTAACGGGCATGGGAAAGGCACTATTCCTACACTAGAATCCACAATGCCGGAAATTCAAAGATCAATTTAAGAAACATCTTCTGCATTGTCAGAAATAAATACTTCATTCATGATACGGTTGAAATTTCAAGTTTCATTTGCGCCAAATAATCCAAAATTACATCATCTGTAATAGTTATGCATTTCTTCATTTCCATCCATCTCAAGAACAAATCTTACCTGTTGGACTTTGATCTTTCAGCCAACAATTGTACCTATTATAGCAGCAGCAGCGGCGTTGGAAATTTCGTAAGGCATAGTTTCAAACTCACTATAGCTGCTGCTTTCTATATTTTATTCGATAATTGCGAACAAAAACCATGCAAACTCATCAAAACCAAAATGTCAACTGATCTCTTGTCAAATAGCTGTCAATCGTTATTCCGTTATTAAGGTTTTCATATTTACAATGACAACAACGATGTGATTCCTCCCGGCCTAGTTCGAAAAGTACGTAGAGGAGAACGTCCAAATTTGGGCTAGGGTCTAAATTCTGGTTAGCGTGATATTCATTATAAGGAGGTGCTGGAACCTAGCGGAGAGAAAGTAAAACAATGTTCAAGGTCGTTCCCATTGCTCAGTTAGAGGGATAGTTCTGTTCCGTGACACGCATATGCGTAGTGAAATATTCTTTGAATTTGACCATCTGAAAACTTTTGCATTTTATTTAATAATCTAGGTATATGACCTAGATTCTTACTAATGAGTTTGATTATACATATATCAAGGTTTTAATATAAACATAGTTCTTACCTCTTCTTTTATTTGTTCGTGTATAACTAACCTCAAACCGACGCACGCCATAGCAAAGGTTCAAATTCAGGCTCAGTGGGCCATCTATTCAATATTTCTCATTCTTACCGTTTACATTCCAGAATGACGAGGAAAAAACCCAAGTACACACCTAAGAATAAAAGGAAGAACTGGAATGAAGTGGACATGGAGAAGGCTATTCGTGCCGTTAGGCTTTGTTTATGTTTTCCCAGTGTATTAGGTACTCCTAAATTTGGGCCTAGCCCAAATTTAGACCACACTTCAAAAATATGAGACTTTGGCATATAATTTGTTTTGATGAAAATCTTCAAAATAGCTTTATTTTGTAGTTTTTTAATATAATGAACTCAAAACCTTTTAAACGTGCAATTTATTCCTAGTTTAAGTTAATTATATTTATTTTAACAAAGTTATGGTTAAGAAAGTAAACGGTAGCCCGAATTTGGACCAACTCCTCTACTAGGCCGGAAAAAAGCTACTTTCCCAAAGAAAACGTGGGTACTTCCCGGACGATTGCCGTCAAAATATTTTTTTACACTTTCTTGAATTCAACATAAGAAACTTCTAGGAATAATTGAAATGTATTCAAACATTCATGAGAAAACCAACCTATAATTATCCTTCAACCGTTGGGAATAGGAGATACTAATGGAATTTCACGAAATCATAATATTTTTTGAGTTCACGGCTAGCAACATTCAATACAATTATCAGATATGGAGTGTCAGATAATCAATATTAATGTTGATGCAATTGAAAACGGATAAGTTAAACTATTATAATGTTCAAAAACTTTGCTAATATAAACAGTTTGTAACTTCAATGAACAGGTCAATTTTTGACCCCTTGACATTTTACCTTGGAGGGCATTTATTGCATTGATTTATAGACGGTAATTCAGAAGGTTTTTCTATATTAACATTCCACAGAAGAAACGAAAAGTTTGCTTGTTTGAGAAATGATTTATTGATGAAACTCAACGTACGGTGTCGGCGCACAAAAGGTTGTTGTAAATGTGTCCCATGAGGCTTCCATTAGTGGAATGAAGGAATGTGATTTTTCAAAATCTTCCACAACATACAGTGTACTCAATACAAGAGTGGCATATCAAAGTTGACTAATTTTTTTAATGAAATGACATGAAATAAATGAAGATGACCCTGGCAGAAGAATATAGTTTTGTTAGTTAATGTCTGAACGTTTGATCCCAAATCGAAACTGCACAAAAATTACTTGTTTTAGTGACAAATGCATTTTTCTTCAAACGGAAACGTCAACCGCCAAAATGTGCGATATTGGTCGGACATAAACCCATTCATGTTTCGAAATGGTTACATTTCCTTTTACCCAGTACAGTAATCTGTTTTGCCGACGACACCACAATGTTACAATCAAATTATAATACCTCAAATTTACTTTTAAATACCAAAGAAACCGAAGACAAAGCAGAATACTAGTTTACATCCAGCAACTGAAACCTTACAGGGAAAAAACAGAAAATAACTATATCTTCTAATACCAGGGTAACAATCGAAGCTCAAGTTAAATTGTTGGGTATAATTATGGACGAGTCGCTTCGATGGGAATCACATATTGACCATCTCTGTAAAAAACTCTCGACACAGTTGTTTCTTTTTCACCAGTTGAAGAAAGCATTGAGCCATAAAACACTTCTCATTTCGTATCATTGCCCTTTTCACTGTCACCTGTCATATGGCATACTCCTTTGGGGTAGATATAATTACGCGATCAGAACTATTCGCGTGCAGAAAAATGACATCAGAATTATAGCTGGAGCTCCATTCGATGCATACTGTCAACCACTTTTTAGAAAATTGGGAATGTCTTTTCCCTGTATGTTGATTTTCGTCTCACTGTTAGAAATACATAAAAACATAATACTACTCTCCAAACACTCATCATAATTATGAAACTAGAAATGCGGTGTAAATTTTTCAAAACTTCATTCACATACGAATTCAAGAAATTGAGACCAACAATCAAAATGAATCCAAAATTACAGTTGTTTTCCAACAAGATGGTGCGTCCTCATGTGGAATGGTAGGGGCGATCCATTGGAATGGCCTGCTCGTTCGCCGGATTTGACTTCGCTCGATTTTTTCCTCTAGGGATATATCAAATCGAGAGTTTATGTTAAGCAATCTGGCACAAAACGGAAACTTAGAGACAGAATTACTGAAACTTATGCTAACATTATCCCGAAAATATTCCAAAATGTCATAAATGAATTCTAAAATAGACTGTTTCACTGTCAAAGGGTTCAAGGAGGACATTCGCTCAAATGATTATTTAATGTATAAGATAATTAATAACAAACGTATTCAAAAAACACTTTATTGTGAGATTTTCACTGAACAGTTTTACAAAAACGCAACAGGCGTTTCGCCGTACAATGACTTCTTCGGGCGTGTCTTTATTAACTATATTCTACATATTCAATGCTTTATATACCTACATTTCAAGTACCTGTGTTTTACCTCTTCATTTAATGTTTTATTTGTACCTGAGTTTGTAATGAATTGAATTACCTGAGCTTATGTTTCTAGCTTCAAATTTAGCTGTGACTGTAGGAAAGATTAAACGTTCCTACGTATGCAGGAATGCAAAAAACCCTGAATTCGATCTTAAATCGATATATAAACTTTTTGCGTATCGATCCATCAGATTGGCGCCAAATTTGTTTGGTAAACAAAGTAATTTGATACCACAACAGAATTTTCTTAAATCGATATATAAACTTTTTGCGTATCGATCCATCAGATTGGCGCCAAATTTGTTTGGTAAACAAAGTAATTTGATACCATAACAGAATTACCATAATATAAAGACAGGTCGTTTTTCAAACGTCACTTGTTGATTTGTTTTCCTCTTATTAATTGGACTAGACAGCAGTTGGTCATTTACATCTAAATGGCTAAATTTTATGGGTATGCGACACCTACAAGAGAAGAAGTTGAAGAAAAATTATTCGAATACAGTTTGTTTGTTATTTCTTGAAAATTGTCAACGACACAGTAGGAGTATATTTTGCAGCATCAAGTCATTTGAATAGGTACTCCATATACAGTGTGTCCCAGCTAAAACTTGTCACCCCTCTAATCTGCGAACTCGTGAAAAATATTCAAAATCGCTCAAACTTATAGATTTTAAATGTCATTTATGTGAAAGTATGACATTTGTCAAACCAAAATACTCTATTTATGTTTAACAGAACAAGGATCAAGCCACCCCAACAGACAAAACAACACAACGATGGACAACATTTACGTACATAGGACACCAAACCACTGAACATCAACATCACATACAAGCCGAACACAAAGATAACACAAAAAATAAACAACTATGAAAAAGAAGAAGACATATTTACATATATGTCTATACATATATACAGTATACAATGCTCGGACTGCAACAAATTCTATATTGGCCAAACCAAGAAAAAACTGACCCAAAGGTACAATGAGCACAAAAAGGCATACATAAATCCAATAGTATATAAATCAAACCTCGCAACACACGCCATACAAAACAAACATAATTTCCCCCCAAGAGAATATAAAACTCATAAAACAAGTCAACAAGGGAAACCGCATGGACATTTGGGAAAACTTGAACATCCATAAATTTAACAGTCATAAATCACTTATCGAGGAACAAGTACAAATCAAAACACAACAAGACCTCACATTCAATATATTAAACAAAACCATACACATTCCTAGAGAAGATCTAACACAAAGAAAAGTGAGTACCTGATGCAGTACAAATACAGGCAAATTTACCTAAAGTACCTGAAATACCTGAGTTGGGACGCTCGGACCGTATAAAGAGGCAGACGACAGGATGACAAGTTCAGTTTGAGGAGTGCCTAGAAGATGACAGTTCGACCAGCTGTCGAAAGCGCTCGCAGATAATTAATAGAAGATATGAAGCTTCAAATCCTTTTTGTAAAATTTAATATTGAAATACTGAAAATAAAGGAAAATTAGTTGCATCATTCAATTGCAAAGATGGACAACAACTGGTTACCAAAAATGAAAAACTTCACATATGCACGGTGTCACCAATTGGAGCTAACCGCACATTTGTGGTTTCAATTAGAAGACCTAGAATTCCCAGGCATCATCTAACATCACCACGTAGGGAGCTGTAGGTACCTGCGTGACTTCCGGGTCCAGGATATAAATACAGAGATAAAGATGTTATTGATTGTGTATGATATAAATCAAAAAGGGGAAAATTTGTGGGCAGAACACTCAAAAAATGGAGGCAAGACACGTGTTTCTGGCTATTGGCATTTAACTAACTCTTTCACGCCCTTATCAAATTTTGATGTTTCAGTTTTCCCTAAATCAACCCTATGAGAATGAAAATACAAAAGAGTGTCATACTAAGTTTCGTCCAAATAGAAAATTTGTCGTTGTTCTTGTCTACATTTAGTTATTTGTTCTAAGTATTTGTTACGTAATTCCACTATTCTTCTGCTTTCCATAACTGTTTGACGTTTCTTTATTATTTTAAATCTAAATCCGAGTTTCTTTATCCAATGCCGAAGGGTTTTGTTGCAGCAGCTCACGTTCTGGCCGGAACTATTCAATTTCTTCCTATATATTGTAGATTGTATACTGTATTTTGTTTTTTTTAATGATTTTATTAGATGAACATCTAAAGGTTTTTGGTAATCCCGCATCACATCGCGTCTTGCGTTCATAAGGTTTGTTTTTGACTATTTATGTACAGTTGAGAAAGGAATAATGCTGCTAATTCGTAGCGGCATTATTTCTTTGTATTGGTTTTTTTGGCCTTTGAATTCGCCGATAGCTTTGAGAATTATTACATCAGTTACTTCGACATACCAATTCATCGTCATACAAAAAATGTGGGTACCTTGAGAAGAAAGAAAGCAACTAATTTTTAGATGAACTATTTACATAGATTTGTAGATCCTGCAAAGAAGTAACTTTCAAACACAAACATATACTTTCATAGAAACATTGAATTACACGAAAGAAAAAAATGCATTAAAAAAAAAATCCGATTCAGTTTGTATTCCAAACATTCGTTACGGAATTGAGTCAGACACCATTCACAGGATTGCTACACAATATAGCATACGAAAATGGTACAAGTTCACTTACATAAAACACTGTCATCCTCAATAACAAAATAATAATAATGAACGTCTTTATTACTATCGATCGAAGAAATACCTGAGTGATTATCTCTCACTAACAATTACGTGGGGGCGTATAAAAATTAGAGTAAATAATAGAATTAACTTTCAGTGTGTCATTCACTACGAAAAAGCTACTGTGATAACGATACATGTAGGTAGTAATATATATTTTTGAAAATAAGATTTGTGAAAATCAAACCGTAAGGTGTAGTTTATGAAAAAACTCAAAATATTTCTTTGGCAAGCCTGTCTTTCCCCTTTCCACATTTAGAAATGCACAGAAGAGTTATATACACCTTTAAGGTTTTGATTTGGCCTATCACTTAAACTCTAAACATTGCAATTTTGGAACCTTGAAGATTTATTCTTTGCTTATGCAGCTTTTTTAACGACAAATCGTAAAAGAAGTTGCCTATATGTAGTTGAAAAGATCCACTTACCATCCAACTGTCACCAAAAACGTGGTCCAATGAGAACGCGCCACCACCAACTGACAGATCCCATATATAATTTTTTCGAGAAACAATTAATAACCATAGATTTCTATTCCCTGTTCGATTTGTCAACGTGGAAAATTGTGCTGGTTTTATCGTTTGAAATTATTAATTTTGATACTTTTAGTATTAGGTAAGCTGCAGTAGTGATTCTAGAACGATTCTTAAGTAAATTATCCCGATTTTCATTGAATACGTCAGCGAAATATAAACCTAACCTATATCGCCCACCGGAACTTTTGATTTTCTCACTTTTAGGCACCAAAGAACTGAGACAAAATGGAATTGCAGTTGCTTTTAGCAGTATTTTTAGCCTCTGTGGTTGCTGTAAATAGTTTAAAACCAGGAGAATGCGAAGGTAACCTACGATTTGAACAAAGAATTCATAAATCACTAATAACATTATTTTGCAGTGTGTATAAAGACATTAGACAAATTCGCAGCCACATTATCAGGGGATGTGAAAAAAGACCCCAAAAAAATTGAAACTGAGTTCAGAAAGTTCTGCAAGGGGTCTAAAAATAAAGAAAATAGATTCGTAAGTATATTCTTTGACTGTCATCAATTATTAATTTTTTTTTACTACACTTACTTATCACAATCATCACTTATAATCAGCATGAATTTATGGAAGATATAGGTACAGAAACAGTTCTGTATGAACTCGACGAACGTGATATCAAACTACAAATATATCCATTCATTGATTTTTCTAGAGCTTTGAATTGTGTAAATCATAAATTAATCATCTACAAATAACAACGTTGTAGAGTTCATGATTACTATATTATCGAATTTCAGTGTTACTATTTGGGTGGCCTAGAGGAGAGTGCGACGGGCATCCTAGGTGAAATGTCAAAACCCATGTCATGGTCGATGCCCTCTGACAAAATCTGTGAGAAGCTCAAGAAAAAAGATGCTCAAATCTGCGAGCTCCGCTTCGACGTTGAAATCGACTTGAAGACAGTCGACCTCAAGAAACTCAAGGTCAGGGATCTCAAGAAAATCCTCAATGACTGGGGCGAGGAGTGCGCAGGGTGTATTGAAAAAAGCGAATACCTCAAGCGGATCGAAGAACTGAAACCTAAGCATACAGAATTGTAGATAGTGATTAGAGAGATAATTTTTTGATTAGCTTTCCATATGGTCCCAAAAGTCGTCTTTAGGTAATTTCTTTTTGTTTGTTAAAGAGACTGTGGGATTTAGGATCTGTGGAAAGCAAAGTTAGGACTTTATTTGGAATTTAGTGTTGAGGGGTTAATGCCCTTATGCAAGTGAGATACCGTGTCTGCAAGAAAAAATAATTTTTGAGTTGTTACCTTGATAGCGGTCGTGATATACATTATCTGAATGTAGTATCAAATATTTCTGTATGGGAGGAACAATATCATAATGAACTAAAGGGCTATTGATTTTTTCAATTTGCTTAATAATTTTTTGAGAAAATTAGTCTGTTTTTTCTGTAGTTGTTGCTTTTATCTGTTGATGCCTACAGTTCCAAATGAGTTTCGTTTAAAATAAAATGAACTTTGTGACTTTACCTCCCACATGATATTGCACAAGTTTTTTTATGATGTGTATCACAGCTGTCCAAGAATCCTTTTTTTACCTCAAAATAATGTTCCAAGAGTGTTTGATTTTTTCTGTTGAATAATCAGGTTTTTAAAATGGTCAGTGCATGTTTACTAGTTTATTTTTTGTAAGGAATTGTACAAAATTATAGACATTTTTGTCTTATTCACAGTGAATCATTTTATTTTTGATTATTTATTGAATATATTCATAACATATTTGTAATAAATACAAAAGTTGAAAATATAGTTTGATTTTTCCTTTGAAATGATAATTAACCGATAAAGTTGGTTCTGGAAAAAGGAGGAAAACTCAATAAATCTTTATGATATAGATAGGTAGATATTGGTCTTTAAGGAGTGTGATAAGTTTTAAGTAGCACAAATTAGATTATCAGATGATAAAAAAATGTTCCTAAGACATTACAGCTAATAAAATTACATATAAGAGTATTGAATATTGAAAACAAAATGCTTAAAGAAAATTACTTCCAGAAACCAATGTGACAGGGGTGCTTTGTTCACTCACTCACTCAACCAATGTGTGAGTTGGTAGTTGAAGCCGCAGGCTGAACGATCGATTTTCACTTTATATCGTCCAACCCGTTACAAAAAAGTGTGATACAAAGAGAGGGAGTTACGTTTCGTATATAACTGTAGGGGCAAGAGAGAGAGGTGCGAGCACAAACAATCGAGTAAGCTCTGAAGAATTGGGAGAAAACTATTACACGTTGCCACTAGTTTTAGCAGGAGATTTCAATGTTGATTTCACATTCGAAGATAGACAACTTTCTACAAAATTAATTGCATTTCAAATGAATAATAACCAAAATGATTATACCACAAGACATGAAGCAACAATCGATGCAGTTTTCTATAGATATCTTTCTAATTTTCATTCAAGAACATATGTATTTTATTTCTCATACCATAAGCCTACTGCCTTGGTTAAATGAACGTATACACATACATATAGATCAAGCTAAAGAAGTTTTACTTCACTCATGTGGTCTCAAGCATACTCGCTTTTTTTCGTTAGGTAGACGTCAAAAACAAAAAAAAGGTGTTTTTTTTTTTAATCTGACCACATCAGGATTCTTATAGTTTTGAAATATGTTATGTCAAAATGTGTCATTAAAAAAGTTATAAGCTGAAATTTGAAGAATATATTGGAAAGGTGTAATTATTGCATAAAATGAATATTTTATGCAATATTGAAGAATTAACTGAATGGCATTTATAATTTTTTCGCCTATAATTTTTTTAAGGCCACATAATTTTGACACTCAAAACTGAATCCAGTGTTGGGATCCGATTTCTTTTAAATTGACTGTTTTTTATTTTTGATATTGGATAATAATAAAAGTCGACCCCGGAGACAAACACCAATTCCTAAAATTTCGTGTATCTTGAAAATGTCTACCTAATTAGAAAAAAAATCAAACGGTTGAAAAATATATTTTTGGTAAAGGTGCTTCCATTTCAAGTGGGTGGAAAAAAGTATCTTGAAATTTGGGAAACAATTACCTTTGGGAAAAAATAAGTACAAATTTGTCTATATTGAAAAAGCTATTTGTAATAAAACATGTAAAACAACTACTGATGCCCAAAGAATATTTTGTTCCTAATTACATTAACTATTTGGTGAAAGGGGAAGGTAACTGGAGCCCTTCCTTTGCTTCGAAAAACGTATAAGACAATGTAATCTCATTTACATACTCCATATACGGATCCTCTGTAATCTCTGGATCAATATAAAAAAACACTGGCATGTCTACTTGCTCGTGGGGATTCAACATCTGTTCCTCAAAACAAAAACACTGGATTTTATTGAAATACTGCCCCGCTTCGAATGGAACTACATTGTAGGTGCTTATTCCGATGACAGGCACATCAGACGGATTTTTCGCCGTATAGAATGCCAGTGCTGTCTCGCCAGGATAAACTGTGAGCTCGGTTTGTTGCGGCCTGAAATTCCATCGCATACTGGCAGCGGTGTCGGCGTTGAATTTTATTTTCAACGGTTTTTGTTTAACGGTTTTCATAGATTCTACTTTGCTGGCGTCGTGGCCCTCTGATACCGTGCCACCATAGCTGTATGCTTGGCAGAACATCCTGTAGAGGGGCACAGCGGCATAGCTCAATCCAATGGTGGCCACCCCTGCAGCTGTTACATAATACAAAGTTGATCTGATGTTCTGTTTCTTGGCGTCGTTTGCGTTGCGACTTGATTTTCTGATCGAATTTTGGTTCAAGTTCTGTCTTAACCTAAAAACACTTTGGGCTGTCTTTAAATTATTGTTGGTTGGAATGAAGACGCTCCTAAACATAATCGAAATTTTCAGTCCTAAGCAACTTTATTGACGTTGTAATCATTTGATTCGTTTAATAATACACTATTTATTCCTAAAAACCCAGCTTTTACATAAACTTGTAGGTTATGTATTGATATGTTCGTTTGTATTATTAATTTGTATAATTAATATCAAAACGATCCTGGGGACGACATCTAGATTTCATAATTTGAACGTTAAAAATAGGAAAAAATAATAGAAAATAGAAAACTTAGTCAAACATTCAAATATTAGATGTTTGATTTATTTGATGTAATGATAATATTTAATTTTTCACGTAAGATACATACAAATTGAAATGAACATGTAGGACGAGATTTCAACTGGAAAATATCGTTTAGTACATGACAAAATTACTCTTATGCGTACACCCTCAAGAAATTAATGCCTAATGAAACTATCAGGTTTGACATGTTCTTCGATACAGATCTGAGTTACATGATGGAAATACAATATTCATACGCCATATTCGGATTTGGATAAATACTTATAATGAAAAAATATATATTTATACTGTTTTTTATATTTTTTTCATTTAGTAAATGCTGTAATGAGTAGACAATCAATGACAATATGTTTCCACATTAAATTGCAATTAAGGTTTCGAGTGAATGGAGTAAATTCTATTGTTTTTGTTCACCAATTAAAATTTTTATTTCAGGTACCTACGTCAGAGGAGATCACAGACCAAAATTAATTTTTTGGTGTTTTCAAACGAACACACCTTGTTGACTGTAAATAACGTAACCTCACATATAATAATTTGCTGAGATGAATAAACAGTAAACTGTTACCATTTATAAACAAGAAAATCATGGATCAAGAAGAGAGACTAGAACTCTCTGAATTAATGTGTCGAACTTGTCTAAAAAAAGAGGGCGAGAAGAACTTATTTGACCAACATAAACCTACTTCTTCAGAGTTCGCTTCTATTCTAAGATCTTGCATTTCTATCCAGGTAATGTTCTCTTTTTTTGAGTAGAAGTTCAGTATAATGATTTTATTTTTAATTCTAGGTCAGTAAAGATGATGGACTACCGGAAAAGATATGCTCGACTTGCTTAAAGAAACTCCTGAACTTTTACAATTTCAAAGTGACCGTCATAGAAAACGATTTCAAACTACGTAAGGCCCTGGAGATGAAGCGAGAGGAGGAAGCGAAGAAAGCGCAAGATGTTTATTCAGTTCTGATGGTAAACACCAACGTAGAAGAAGTAGAAGTGGGCCCTCAAACATATCACTTCATAACTGAAGAAATTGTTGTTGAAAAAGTAGAACAACCTGTTATTAAACCCCCAGAATCGAAATCCGAAGTTCTCGAAATAAAACCTGACGATTTAACCTTCGTAACCGACTCTGACTCTTCTGATGAAGAATCGGAGAGTAGGGATGGAGAGAGCGAGAAGTTAAATGGAGATGACGAGGAAAATAAACCCAAAAAGAAGAAGAAACCTATGTACCAGTGTGACATCTGTGGAAAAATCTTGAGCTGCAGGAGTAACTTGACCAATCATCATCGTGTCCACTCTGGAGAAAGACCTTTCTCTTGCAATGTGTGTGATAAAAAATTCTCCAAGGCAGAGCATGTTCTGATCCATCAGAGGATTCATACAGGTTAGGAGTGGTAGTGGTAGATGATAGTGGATGGTGGTAGATGGTGCAAATGATAACAGTAGGATTGAATACTTTTTTAGTTTGCTTCAGTTTTTTTCACAGTAGGTTTGGTAATTGTGGCAGTAGGATTGGTAATTGTGGCGGTAGGATTGGTATGTTTAATTCAGAATTTGGTAGGATTTTTTTATTCAAGGTAGGATGGGTGTAAATTATAGTGGGATAAATATATTGAAGGAAGAATGAGTAGATATTGTAGTATGATTCATATAGGAGTAGTAATTGGTTTTGTAGGTTTGATATTTGTGGTACTTAGTAGGATTGATGAGTGTGTTAGTAGGATTGATGAGTGTGTTAGTAGGATTGATAATGGTGGTAGTGGTGTATTGGTATATTTATAACAGTTTGTTGGGATTGGGTTTGTATAATTATAGAAAAATCAATTAACATTTCGGTGTGATTCAAATCCTCATGTTAGTAATGAGAATCGTGTTGGTAGGATTGATAATTTTTGTAGTAGTATTGCTATGTTCATGCCTGAATTTGATAGGTCTGATTTATTCAAGGTAGCATTGGTGCAAATTATAGTAGGATTAATATATTCAAGGAAGAATAGATGAATATTGCTGTAAGTTAAAAGAAATGCAGTGAAAGCAATAATCATCATAACAGTGTATCCCTTTCTAAAAATTCTTTTACGCTATAGTATCCTTTATTAGTTAATAGTTCCTTTATTTGTTTTTCAAATGGTATGATACGCAAATCTTCAATATCTAGAGGCTACGTTATGTTTTGGAATAGTTAATGAATGTTTCTTTCATGTAGCATAGTTATGAACAACTGATTCATGTCTTCAATTGGATACTTTATATTCACTATCTATAGACTTCATGTTAGATTTAGTTATGGCTGAAAAATCATTGATAATTCTCTTTTTTTGTGGAACATTAGGAGAGCGTCCCCACCAGTGTTTGATCTGCAAGAAGCGCTTCATCCAGTATGCTTCTCTGAAGGCTCATCTGAGGACTCATACGGGAGAGCGGCCACATACGTGTGTGGTGTGCGGAAAATCTTTTGGACAATCAAGCACGCTAGTGAATCATTCACGAACTCATAGTGGAGAGAAGCCCTTTGTGTGCACTGTGTGCGGAAAAGGATTCAAGAACGCCGGAAATCTGAGCACGCACATGAGGTAAGTATCAAAATAGTTTTCCATCAATAAAAAGATAGATTTGAGTTTTTAATTGAATATAACTGGCCGATACTTGATGAAAATTCATATTAAAAAACTAGTCGATACAGTTTATTGTATGATTTTCACTATAAAGGGTTTTACAAAAACCGCGACACGTGTTTCGCTATACAATAGCTTCTTCAGGCTCAAACTGGGAGTTACTTCTAAATTACAACCATTTTATACTCTAACCTAGTACATACTCGTCTACCCAAATAAAGAATCTACCTGAAAAGGTCAGGTATGAATCTATAAATGGCTATAAATCAAATCATCTAAACTTTAGATGATTTGGCAGATGATCATCATGAAAAATGAAAATTAAAACTTCCTATGTTTCACAGCACTTCTATTTGTGACAACAAATTTCAATTGTCATTTTTCAAAAAGAATATTCAATACTATCACAAGTATATAATTCCTATTACCACAAATATCAATCCCATACAAACCCTACTTCCACCTTCATCAACCCTACCATTAGTAATGGTACTACCAACAAACTTTTTTTAGGTTCCATAAGAACGAGCGCCCTTACGGCTGCTATCAGTGCGACAAACGTTTCGTCACCAGTTCCCACCTCAACGTCCACATAAAGCAGCACTCTGGTGAGAAACCGCACAAGTGCGCCGTATGTGGCAAGGCTTTCGTCAGGAGCGAACACCTCAAAGGTCACTTGATCATACACAGCGGCAAGAAGCCGCACCAGTGCAAGTTCTGCTCGAGAAGGTACACGCAGAGCAGTCACCTCAGGAGGCACGAGAAAAGCGCTCATTCGCAGAGGCAGGACGATGGCGTCGGGTGAGGGATTGGAGATGGCGCTGTGAGGTTTGAGAGTTGCCTCGGTGGGGGTGTGGGCGTTTGATATGTAGCTTTTTGTATATTGCTGTTTTCATTAATAGAGTTTATGATTTTTCCCGTAGTTTAGTGAAAATTTACACCAGAATGGGAGTTGAAGCTTCATTAATGTAGAAGGGCCATACTGCATGAAAACTGTAGTTAGCTTTTCTACTGTTTTTTGGGTATATAACCTTCCGCAATAAAAGATTTTTTGATCATAAAATCGAGAAAAGAAAGTTGATTATGGACTACCCTTTCTAAAGTAAATTTTATCTGTGGTTCTCTTGGGTTCAGATAATTCAAGAAAACTTTGATATCATCTGGGTTTCCATTACAAAGAAAAGAAGTTGGAAAAGGAAATATGAACCTTAACTGAATTCTCAAAAAACATCCAGTATGTTTGTTTATGTAGACGGTCGTGTGTGGCATCTGGACATTTCATTAATAATAATAATGAACAGCTTTATTTCAGAGTAGATCACAAACTTTTATTGTCGGTAACATAGAATGAAATGGCGTCAAACAAGGAGGTTCAGATTTTTTTTGTTATAAATATTTTTAAATGAATGTTCCAGTGAGATATGCGTTCAAATCATAGGGCTCTAAGTCTATGAGAAGTATTTTTAGTTCTCTTTTGAAGACTTCAATTTTCTTTGTTCGTTTTATTCTGCTAGGAGGATGGTTGAAAAGTTTAATTGACATATAGTGGGCGCTTTATTTAGTTACTGTTACTTATGATGCACTGTTTGGAACCTTTGGTGTAGTTATGAATATTACTGGAATTTTTTCACAACATCAAATCGTTATTTTCAACACCTTGACACGTGTTTCGATCACCAAGTGATCATCTTCAAAGAGGAAGATTAAAACTAGAAACTAATGGGAAGCTAACCCTATTTATGCTATACAGGTATCCCATACAAGTAAACCATCTAGGCGTACCACCCATACAGGCATACCAACCTAAATTAATTTTTCCTGTTTGAGTCGAGGGTTTTCGGAAAAGCAGTCAAAGCAAAGTAGAAGTAGCCAGTTCAAATTCAGAATTTCTAAACAAAAGTCAGAGTTGAAAATTCAAAGCAGAAATTGCCAGAAAGAAATCTAGTCAAAATTTGAAATTTAGAATCGAAATTTTGAGATACAAATCCGAAGTTCAAGAATACAGTTCAAATTTTCTGTTCTACAACAAAACTCCCAATGTATAGCCACTCCAAAATAGATAATTGATACTCAAAATCTCAAGATTGGTGAGTTTCACTTATATGAAATACAGGATGACCTTTTAAAGCCTCCCAATGTCTCACTTTCATGGCTGAGTAATGGTTCACAAAACTTTAAAGTGTAGTTGCTCTCAGTCATGTACCAGGTGAAGTTGTTATTATTGTATATGAATAGTTAAGAAAAGAAATACATACACTGTTGCAAAGTTTCACAAGTTACTGTTTTATCAAATCATAAATGTCTTTTCTTCAAAACCTTGATTGTCACCCAAATGATTGAAAATTTTGAGTTTACTTCTTTCTGGGCTGTTCAATTTTTATTCGTAAAATATAATAATTATATGATTGTAAATATTCCGCCATATTATCTCTATAAATGTTAAGACAAGGACCACGGACTTCTCATATAAGGAATTAGTATTTTATTTTGATTTATCAAAATAAAGTTTCGTTTTGAATATATATTATTTCTTGCATTCGACAATAAAGTTCATGGCCAAAACTCGAAGTTTGATTTCTTCACACATTAATTGGACAATTAATGTCCCAAGAAAATTTCCCTGTACATTTTTTCTCAATGGTTATGTGAGAATTATCAAATAATCAAGGTATATTTCGAATTAACTTTTCATTAAATCGAATAACTTTAGGATAAAATAGTAGTGTAATATTCTATAATATTTTAACCAATTAAAAAAATTAATAGGCCCCAGATAGAGCGGACTCCCAAATGGAGTTCATGCTCCTTCAGCTACTTGCGTGACAGCTTTAGCTACCTGCGTGACATCCGGGTCCAGTATTCGATATATATTGTAACAATTTAAAGAATTAACTGTCTTAAACAAATTTATTTCCATCAATGTTTCACTAATCACAAACTAATTTATTTACAACACTTACCAACTAACGCTCAATTTATTTCCACTATTTGAATTCCTTGTTTAACCGCTTAATTCACTTTCTGAGCTCCCTCTTGGGTCGAGAAGCCGGACTTATATAGTGTAACGGTTCTTTCTAGAAATCTGTAGTCGGTTCGATATTCAACTAGAGTTTTACCGGCGGTTGCCGACTGCATTCCTTCTGCGGTGATGTCATTTTTTGTTCGCTGGCCGGCAAATCGGTTAGAGGCGGCTTTAGATTCGTTACAATATGATAATTTGGTTAATGAATTTGATATAATCAAAAGCGGTAGAATTCTTGGAGGAAGCACTCAAAAAATAGAAAGCAAACTGTTTCTAGCGTGTTTCTAGCTCATTACCCTCATCAGTACGGTATATCCAAGTGCAAGTATATTTAAGTTGCAGAAACAACACAAATGCATCACATTATCTGTTGATCATATACAGGGTGTAACATAAGTACGTTTAAATATTCAAGTGACGCATTTCTGAGACAATTTCAAGAAAAAAAAGTCTATATGAACTTGTGTCCGAAAATGCTTCTTTTCGGAGATACTGGGTGTTGAAATCGAATTTTTTTGTTCGCTTTTTGAAAATAACTCTTGCAAAAAATAAGTTATTTGCACGAAATTCGGTACCCGGGATTTTTTTGACGTGGGAAATCATAATTTCGTATTAATTTTGTCACTCTCCGCTTGAAAATTAAGTTAATTAAATCGAGTAGGCCATGAAAGTTTATTCATAAAAATAGAAGTTCGCTGTCACATTTTCAATTATTAATTGACAAATTCACAGTTCGGAGTTTATAAAGTGATTTTTTGGTACCTACCATGCCCGACTTTACGAATGTTGAAATGGCTGATATCGTTTTTGCATACGGCTAGGCTGACGGAAATTCAAGCGAGGCCAGACGAATCTATCAGGAAAGGTATCCCCAACGTGTGACTCTTTGTGAGGCGACATTTGCGAATCTTTTCCGGCGACTTTCCGAGTCTAGAAGCTTTGAAAGAAATTCTGCAGTAGAACGGCCACGGACTACAAGAACTGTACAATTGGAGAGAAGAAATTAGTGAACATCCAGAGATAAGTACAAGAAAAATTAGTCAAACTTTAAATGTGAGTCACATGACAGTTTACAGAATTTTAAAGGAACAGCAATTATATCCTTATCAAATTCAGCGTTTCCAGGCACTTATGTTACGTGATTTTCAACCACATATCGAATTTGCACATATCGAACGTACTTATGTTATACCCTGTATATCGAATACTGGACTTGGATGTTATGCAGGTAGCTTAAGCTGCCTCGTGGTGCGAGGTTTGATTTATATGTTATTGCGTTTATGTATGCTTTTTTGTGCTCGTTGTTCCTTTGGATCAGTTTTTTCTTGGTTTGGCCGACATAGAATTTGTTGCAGTCCGAGCATTGTATTCTGCACACTCCATTTAGGTTTTTGTCTTCTTCTTTTGTATGAACATGTTGGAAAACCTAAACATTTTGAACACTTTTATTCACATATTTTTTTGAAAAATACATTGTCCTTATATAACAATACTAAACGTTCACATTTTAATAAATATTCAAATTTTCTATTCATTCGACTAAATCAAATCGTGATAAAAGTCATTGGGAGAAACTCAAACTGAATGATACCGCGAAGGGAAATATGAATATTGTAGGAATTTTATATTTTCATACGATTCACTCCTGTGATATTTTCGAGAATGAGAGAAATATACTAAAGCGAGCTTCATGTTTGTATGGCTTACAAAAATAAATGAACTAGAGCTCATTTCACCAGTGACTATTAAAATGGATGAATAAAGTTCCCCAAGGAGCGGTTTTGGGACCTGTCTTACATGTAATATATGGGAATGAAACAACTGTTTTGATCATCAATTATTTTACACAATCGCGACAAAAATATTAATAAAAAACTAGTTGAAGGATTTTGTTCTCGTGGCAGTTCCAGTAGTTGACTCGAAGTAATCGTTATTCTCGGGCGTGATATTTGAATATCAGATATCGTCTTCGAACGAGTTTATTTCTTCTTCTAATTATTGTTTAAACCGCCCATTCCGGGAAAACGTCGAAGTCCCAGATGAGGCCGCCGTAAAAAGGGAATATCGTAAAGAGAACCACCAAGGAGATGACTGTCATGCCTAGACCGACTTTGACCATTTCGCCAGTCGGCATATTGCAGGGAGCGGCAGCGATGGCATTCGGAGGTGTTGATACTGGCAGGCAGTAGGCGTAAGAACAGCATAAAGCAGCTGGCATCATGAGGTACATCGGATGGATTTTGGCGTCCTGCAATGTAAAATAAAATGAAAAATCTGAAGAGAAATGAAAAAAAACGGATACATGAACTTTCATTGTCCTCTAGTAGCCGGCTATTTGACAAATTTAAGGTGTTGTACTTATTTTACGCATACGTATGAGTTTATAGAGGAAGTTAGAGTCCAGGATGAATCATATACAGGTCGTTTCTTTTATCATGTGGTATATTCCAAACCGTAACAGATACGAAGACGATTAAATAGGGAAAAAAGTAACTGTCATCGGGAACAATACAATGGTTGAAGAAAATTTACGGGGACTCTCGCCCTTCTCGAGTTATACGGGGAAAACCAAAAATGATGTTTTTCGTTTTTTTCGAATGGAATTGTTATTTCGGAGAATATCAAAAAATGGAAAGAAAATGTTATCGTAATCGAAGTGTACTATGACGATGTAATAATAAATATTCGATAAAACGTTTCCTGTTTTTTCATTACAGATTTTGTTACATACAAGGGTATATCATATTTCATATTTTTTTAGCGTTTCAATTGAAATAACTACCGTCATCAGAGACAACAATTTTATATTACGGTCCTGTCTTTACTTCTTTTGTAAATTGTTTTGATTTCTTCAAAATATAATTCAGACAGCCCAATAAATTCTATAGATATGAAAATTCGTACTTTTCCGTTTTGGAATGTTTTGTATTGCCGCAATATTTGCTTAACCATAACATTTATTTGATTCCTCACACTTCCAGTAACCACACTTTTTCTTGTTTTCTTTCTGTCAAACCCACCATAGTCCCTCAAATTCCTTTCTAATCATCCAAACGCTTGGATATTCGGAATACGACGATTCGGGTATAGCTCAACATACATATTCCTTGCCGAAAGAGGATTTTTATTTGATTTTGCATAACTAAATAGCATTTCAGTCCTTTCATCATTTGAATACATCTTTGATATTTTTGGGAAAGAAAGTTTTTGGCTTTCTACTACTTCATCTTGATACAAAAAAAGATGAGGGAATCTTCCAAAGAAAGAAAGTAAGTAATCGATTTGAAAATAAGTAACTCTATACATGGATGTGTAGATCATGCAACGAAGTAACTTTCAGACACAAACTGAAAGAAAGTCCTCCTAAAACAGCTACTTCCATATAAACATTGAATTACACGAAAGAAAAATCTTTCGAAACAAATACTTCTATATGAACACTGAATTATACGAAGATCTCTTCCTCTACTCAGTTTGTATTTCAAACATTCGTTGTGGAATAAAATCAGATAGCATTCACATGAGTTCTACTATAAATGAATGGTAACAAATTGCACTTACATGGAACACTGTCATCCTCACTGGTATACATCGATGTTTCGCCGTAAGATATTTGCCCTAAGGAAAATAATTTTCTATAATGTTATCCAAATTGGTACTGAAGAGCCTTAGGGCGAGTGTCTTACGGCGAAACATCGATGTATACCAGTGAGGATGACAGTGTTCCATGTAAGTGCAATTTGTTACCATTCATTCAAAGTTGAACTCATGTGAATGATATTCTCAAAACCATCAGAGTTTTTAAAGAAAATCTTCCAGCAATTCTGGAAGCCTTACAAACATTATCTCAGGAAGGAAATAGTGCAACTCGAAAAAGTGCGTTCCAACTGCATGCGGCTACTTCCAGAATTTCTTTTCATTCTCGGGATTATGTTGGTATCCAAATTCTCGGCTTTGATGGAAACCGTTGTCAACGTACTCCAATCTGTAGCTTTGGACACGTTAAAAGGATTTTACTTTTAATTAAAGACCACCGTGAAAATCCGGAGAAAGTGACAGACGAAATTATAAAGGAAGCTACTGCTGTTGCGGACAAAGTCGGACTGGAGGAGGACATTACATCAATGCCGCGTATTACGGGGCAAAGTCATAGAAGCAATCATCCAACAGAAAGCTCTTCAGAATACTGAAAGAGGTCTTTAGTAATACCATACTTGGATTCAATTATCACCTCCCTTGAAGAACGTTTTGCTGAAGAAAACACGCCATAATTTGCATTATCTAAATTACATCCGGCGCAGATGCAAAAGATGACAACTGAAACTCTGAAACAAAGTTGTGAGTTTTATGATTTACATAAAGAATGAAATCGAACTTTGGCAACAATCGTAGATAGACTCAATCTAACATATCTTACAGTTGTTGATGTCCCAAAAGAACAATGCCTTCGTTCCAGTAACGGAAAAAGCATTAAAAATTTTGATCCATGCACGACCTGTACAGTAGAGCGATCCTTTAGCAGCCTCAGAAAACTGAAAACATGGCTAAGAAGCCCCATGGCAGAAGATCGCCTTAATGGTCTTGCCATGATGAGTGTACACAGAGCTATAATAAATAAAAACCTAATAGTCCAGTCATTTTGAGGGGCTTGCCTAGGAAAGTGGTTATACCCAGCTGTAAATTTGTATAAACTTTGTATTTTGGTATCACAAAAGTGTTCTCAAAATTCACATATGATTCGACGACCGCAACTTCAAAAATTGGGGTCAAAAGTCAAAAAAACCGACTTTTTGCACGTTTCCAATGGGTTTTATGCTAATTGTATTTATTATCAATATTGTAGAGAATTAAATTCTCTACAAATTTTGTTTTAAACATTTTTTCATACGTTGAATCGTTTTTGAGATAGAGGGCAGCGCGAGCGCAGAGCTGTCTCGACAGTGCTTTAGTTCAATATGAATTCTTTGAGAAAAATTGGGCCAAAACTCGTGTAATTATTACCTCACATTATGGTCCTCAGTTACAACATTATGATTTGAAGACACGGTAAATAATGAAATTATTATTTCGTTGAGTATACGAAAAGTTATATTTTTGAATTCTACATGCTGTAAAGACAGATGATTCATTGTAAAGTTTGCTAACTGAATATTAACAGTTTTTCTCTGATATATTTCGAAGATATCCCCGCTGGATGATGAGTTTACAAAAAATACTCACCACCGACATCTCAGCCAAGACGGGCAGGATAACATTCGCACAAGCCACGTTGCTGGAGAACTGGGTTAGTAAAGCTGCCATGCTACCGGAGATCATCATGACGTAGTACTTGTTCAGCGACGTGAACCCCCTCAGGTGTTCGGCGATCATGTGACTCATCTTGCTGCTTTTGGAACCTTCTGCCATGGCAAACCCTCCGCCTAGAAGGAAGATCAATCCCCATGGCATTTTCTGCTGGACGATTTTCCACGAGATGAGAGCCGGGGAGGCGACTTTAGGCCTTTTGGTTTCGTCCTTGCTGAACATGTAGATGAAGTCCGGTTTGGAGGGAAACACGAAGAGGATGAGGACGACGATTAGGGCGGCAGTGGAGTCTTTCACCTAGAAATGGAGAGGACATTCAAAACCAAAACCTATGTGTATTCTTAAAATAGTGTTATACCCAAGCCCATAATACTCAAGAGACAGGAGTTTCGTTATATTTGTCAAACCAGTTCAGCATAGTCCTATCCGCGAAAACTTCAGATTTAACATTCGATACCTTAACGGGGAGATGAGGTCAACTAAGAAGAAGAAGAACTCAGTTAAAACTCAACAACATTTAAGTATTAGGTAGTAGAGCGTTTGAGGACATTCTATCTCTGAACACGTAACGAATACCATTTTACCAGTATAGTAAGAAGTGAGTCGAGCAGGGTCAACTAACTTCTAAACACGTAACAGCACACCTAGATAATGACAAATGAGAGTTTGTCGAAACGTCGGTGAAATTAGAGATAATATCACATACACGGATCAAATACCTGGAAAAACCAATGTGTTTTTAGTGAATTTTATCGAGAGTCAGTATCAACAGGTATATTACGAAGAATAAATTTCATCGTAATTTACACAAAATACCTACACATGGAACATTGAATGCAGCGTATGACGAAACTAACAAGGGCAACATGCCAGCTGTACTTTGTATCTAATAAATAAACAAAAGACACAATTGAAAGATCAACGAGTAGAACTTTGGACTTCCTCGAACGAATGGAAATAAAGTGCAAGGCAGGGTTCAAAATGGGTCACCATTATGAAGCGTGTAGTCTGTAGTTTTGCAATCAAGATATCTCTTCGAAAAAGTAAACAAAATATAATTTACTAGCGAGACGACGAGTGAGTTAATGAATCAAGGCTGGGGATGATCTGTTATTTATTCAGGAACGCATACAAAGAACAACGACCCCGTGGGTTGGGTTACCTTACGGGCGCGTCCGCAGGTGGCGGATAGGGGAACGGCCAGGTGACTGGACGACTTGTTCGGGAAGCCAATGTGACCTTACGGACGGGGTCGCCGGACTCCTGGTCAGTGGCAGAAATAAAGAGGGGGAGGGGAACTAAAACTCCCCAAAAGCCACAGTGGACAAGCCTACCCAAGCTAAGGTATAAGGAATCGTGCCGACAGCTGAATGGCCGCAGGGTGATATGCAGTCACCAACGATCCCCTTGGGGAACTGGGTGAAACCTCATTGTAATCAGCCTACATCTGGTAATGCGGTGCTCTGCCAAAGGTGACCAACTCTTCCCTTGCTACTCGTGGGAATACACATGAACGAAACACCAAAAACAAAAACCATTCCTTAGTTTGGACAGAAATGCTCACCTCAATCTAAGGCGGTGGCTGGGGAAGAACAGAAATGTTCACCCCAATCCACCGCTTGGAATGAGGCTGGACAGCAGGGGCACTTCCTGCGGCGGGCGCCAAGAGCTCCGCCTTGAACAAAGGCAAGGAACCGGTTGCTCCTGCAGGAAAGCTCCCTCACTTGTGCACCTCCACGGAGGGAACCCCAAGAAGGTTGAAGAAGCCGCGCAACGACAGTAATATCGCTGCACCTTTCGAAACCTTCGCGGAGGCCACCGCAAGACACCTCAAGGTTGCCAAAGAGAGTGTGTGTTCGGTGAGTCTTGGCCTATTCCTGCCAATATAAAGGAGATGTCTTCTAGTGACCTGTTCACTTTCCTGCAAAGGACAGGATGGACGATGACCTAGGAGGAAAACTTCTCGGTAGGATGTACAATGGTTCACATGTAGCGTAAGTGCTGTGAGTCTACCCTCATCCTCCCTACTCTACAGATACAGAAGAACAACGACCTGAGCTGTTAGGAAATCTAATGAAAACCAAAGTGTAAAATTGGATCAAGTAAACTATTTAAAGCTCAATTTTTTTCAATTTGTTTGGATTTGTTTCCGCCCAAAAAGCAAAATGACTAATAAAATTTTCGGGAAAGAAAGGTTTTGGCTTTCTACTTCTTCATCGTTATACAAAAAATGTGGGGATCTTCTAAAGACAAGAAGGAAGGAATTCGTAACAAACTCCATACAGAGATGTGTAGTTCATCCAAAGAAGTAACTTTCAGACACAAACCGTAAAAAAGCCCTCTCGTAACAACTACTTTCATATAAACATTGAATTAGACGAAAGAAAAAATACTTTGGAAACAAATATTTTTATATGAACGCTGAGGCTGCGGGCACGAAAATCGCGACGGCCGAGCGACGGCGGAACGGCGACGATGCATACAATATCTACAGTATATGTGATGCTCACGAAACGAGCGGTGGCGGGGCGGAGCGAGCTACGATGCACAAGCGGGAAGAGAGCAACGGCGACGCGAAAGCGACGCGAACAAACTAGTGTGATGAGGTTGTTCGCGATCACAGTAGTGTTGTGAGTAATTAAGCAACAGGAATTCCAGCCCAAACTCCCATGTAGTTTCTTATGGAGCTTAATTCTGGACCTTTTTGGACCTCAGGCCCACTTCACGCGGAAGGGGCAAAAGTCAGCGCCTTGTCTCTGCCAGACGGCCATTATGTGTAAACTGAGCCTTAGCCTTCAAAGCCCACTTCGAACCACCTCCACTTCTCCACTTTTACTGTCATTCAGTCAACCAATCAACTATCGCGCATACAGCGGGAAATTCAAACCAGTACATGAACAAACTTGTTCCTGGCTCAAAATCCCATGTATTTTCTTATGGAGCTAAACTTTTTGCAATTTTTGGTTCAAACAGGAGTGGAGGAAACGTGTGACGTCATCGACGCAGGATGGAATAAGTATCGTAGCGATTCAAGCGTGGAACTCCGTCCCTCGGCCCCCTTGGTACTTCGCCTCACCTATCAGCTTCCTTAGTACTCCGCCCTCGGTCCCCTTGGGACTCCGCATCACCGCTCAGGCCCCCTTGTCACGTGATTTTAATTAAAAAAAGTTTATAGTTACGAGATTCGAACCTGGATCGTCCGCGTGGTAGACATTGTCCTCTACACCAACGTAAAATATTGAAAGTAACTGCGCGAATGATAGGTATTTATAGCGTTAGTTTTGTCAGGACCGAAATTGACTCATTTTATATACTTGACAGCTTTTTTTTTTGATTTCCGTAGAATGTAATCGTCATTATCATGTTGAAGATAAGAAAATATACTTAGATTTGGGAAATAATTAATATTTCATATAAAGATGTGTATGTGTGTGTAAGAGCGAGAGACGCGTGTGACGTAATCGAGGCAAAGAGAGATGGAGATAGTATCGAGGTTATACGCTGCCAATGCCAGCATGGTAGGTTCGGCGTTGCCGGTTGTACAATAAATCATTGTTTATGGGGCAATGTAGCGTTGCCGGTTTTGAAATTAATCGTGAACGACTCGATGAAAATTGGAAGCGCGAAAGTGATATATTAATAATAATGAATCAGATTTAAGAAAAAACATTACAGATTAATGAGGCTGTATCATTTCAAAGTGCGATCCCTCAATGTTACAAGGTATCTCAAAATACATAATTGAAAACAAACATGGCGTCGAAGTGTACAGGGTGCGTCAAAATACATCATCAGCGTATAACCTCGGACACACCTCTATGCAGGATGTGTGAACGGGAAGATGAAACTGTCAGGCATGTCCTATGCGAGTGCCCGGAGTTATCGTCAATAAGAGAGTGTGTGTTCGGCAAGTCTTGGCCTACACCTGCCGATATAAAGGAGATGTCTCTCAGTGACCTGTCTACCTTCATGGAAAAGACAGGATGGACGATGACCTAGGAGGACAACTCCTGGCGCAGGAGGATGTACATAGGTCACATGTGGCCTAAGTGCTGTGGGCTTACACTCACCCTCCCTACTCTACGGATACAGAAGACTTTATAAGCTTTCTACTGTGCCCGCGCACAGTGTCATCGCACCGTGCAGTCCCGTGGACACCCTCGCTTGGCCGTCGCGATTTTCGTGCCCCTAGCCTGAATTATACCATTTATCAATTACATCAGATTTGGTACTGAAGAGGCAATAAGGCAAGTGTCTTATGCTGAAACATCGGATGTCCACTAGTGAGGATGACAGTACTAATAGTAACTTTATTCACTTAACAGATAGCTGTACAGAATAATTATTGAATGAATAAGACAGTAAAAACGATAAGTACCCAAGTACTTGTTTCGTTATAGCAATAAAACATACATGAAATTAAATTTAAATAGGTCTATAAAAATTATTATGAATTTTCAATATAGTAACATGATAAAATCAAATAACAGTTATGTATATAAAAATTATAATAAGATCTCAATATAATGAAAAAGCAATGAGAAAGGAGAATTTTATCTGCGGAATATGTATTAAACTCGGTTGTGAAAGTTGTGTCAAGTTCAGGTAAGTGTTTGAAGAATGGTATCTGATTCAATTCCATAAAGAATGTTTGGAATACCAACTGAATAGACAAAAGTGTTTTTGTATGGTTCAGTATTCATATAGAAGTATTTGACGTATTCAAAAATCACTTCATTGTTAGTTTTTCACTAAACAGTTTTACAAAAACGCAACACGTGTTTCGCCATACAAAGACTTCTTCAGACGTAAAAACACGACTGAAGAATCCATTGTAAGGCAAAACACGTGTAGCGTTTTTGTAAAATCGTTTAGTGAAAATGTCTTAATGAAGTGTTTTTTGAATACGTTACTTATGGATTTTCATCAAGTATCGGCCAATTTCATCATATAAAAGTATTTGTTTCAAAAGTGCCTGTTTTTATTTCGTGTAATTCATTGTTTATATAAAAGTAGCTGTTTCGGGAGGGCTTTTCTTCCAGTTTGTGTGTGAAAGTTAATTTTTGCATGATCTACGCATCTTTGTATAGAGTTAATTTCTAGATATTGAGTGCTTCCATTCTTTTTTTGAAGGATTCCCACCTTTTTTTGTATAAAGATGTAGAAGAAAGTCAAAACTTTTTTTTGTCACAAGTTATTTGAAGCTAAATAACTCACTATTCACGAGGAATAAGTAAAGCTCTCTTAAATTTAAAAAGAAAACAAACTTTGTTGTACTGATGCTTGGATTTACAGATACCGACCAAAAGCCAAACAATCTAGATTGCACCACTCTATGCGGTTGATTAATTGCTACATTAATTGTTAAATGCCCCGATTATTTGTTTAGTTTTAATTCGCTATTACTAACTCCATCTGCGTCAATGTCTCATCTCGTAATTGGCCCAAATGACGCGATTACCAACAGATAACATGATATCAGCTACGAGGAAACAAAACTGTTTTCATTGAATGAAATCAGCATTAATTTGTTTATGTTGCAATCGAATGGTGAAGTGACACGAGTCAATGCCATTCCCCCAATTGTTTTTCGGATAATATAAGTCAATGAGATTGATATTACGCTGAACCTGATTTGCAGATACAGACCGTTCTTAGCGACCTCCTGACCGGCAGGTTGCTAAGAAAGTTATTGTATAAGTGATTTGATCAGTTGATCCTTTCAAATCTCCCGAAGAGAATGGCATATTCCTAGTTCTGCCTCAAAACGATCTGGAAATACTTTTATCCATTCTCATAAAACTGTATAGAGTCTGGCGTGTAATAACATACAACAGAGTGATCGTCGGCAACGATGGTATATTACCTAAAGTGGAGTGCAAAAACTCACACCAATTATCTTAACATACACACATCGGAAAAGTCTAGGGATATTTTTATAACATACTAATTATCATAAAAATAAATGCATGAGGTCGTTTAATTTCGATTAAATTGGTACACTCGACCACCCTGTAGATTTCTATGGGTTGAACAAAGCCTGCAAAAACGGTAACTAATCTTTTATCAAGTTTTTTACAAACTGTANTATGATAAGCATGATAAAAAAATAACATCCATAATTTCATAGAATTCGGAACCCATCCTTTACTTCCTCCGCAGTGCACAATGATTTGCCGCGATCCTTTGTTTGCAGGCATGTTAGGCGTACACATTCTCAGACCATCAGTCCACTCTTTCGTAACTGTGTCGTGAGTGTCATACCAAGTTTCGTCCAAATAGAAAATTTACCGTTATTCTTGTCTATATTTAGTTATTTGTTCTAAGTATTTGTTACGCAATTCCACTATTCTTCTACTTTCCATAGCTGCTTGACGTTTGTTTATTATTTTTAATCTAAATCCTAGTTTCTTTATCCAATTCTGAAGAGTTTTGTCACAGCAGCTCACGTTATGGCCGAAAGTATTCAATTTCTTCCTTACGATTTCAGTTGTAGGAATCTCATTGCTTTTGTAACAGTCGTATACTGTTGTTTTGAATGATTTTATTAGATAAACATCTAGAGGTTTTGGTAATCCTGTATCACATTGCGTCTTGCGTTCATAAGGTTTGTTTTTCGACTATTTTACGTACAGTCGAGAAAGGAATTTCGGACGAATCTGATGTCGCTTGTAATATTTTGTTTCCCTCGAAACCAAACTTGAGATGTAAATTCTTATATACATTGAAACAAACTCTCTGTTTAAGTACTTGTTCAAGGACGCCACATTTCAAACAGATAACAAAAATTTTAAGTAATTATAACTGCACCATTATCGAATTTCAACACCCAAATCGCGATCAGTTCTTGAACTGAAAATTGACTACACGAAGTGTATAAACATCCTTGCATTCTGTTCGTCACCGTAATATGACTTCAAATTCAATTTTCTGACTCTTCAGCCAATCATAAAACTCGATTAGTAAAAATTATCCAATACGAACCGCCAATTCTTCAGTCTATATCACAGCGGCATCATTTCTTTGTATTGGTTTTTTTTTGGCGTTTGAGCTAGCCGATAGCTTTAACTATTCACAATTCCCGGTTACTTCAACTATACCGATATGTTATATCTGGGTTTGGCAAAAATCAACCCTAAAGAGATTAAAAAATGAGCTAGACCCTCTTATAGAGTGGTTCGAGATCAACTGGCAATATGCACAATTCTGTTGTTAATCTAGTCTCTCTCTTCAGAGAGATTTTGGTTCTGAAAGGATTTCCATAGTCACTGGCAGTAGCATGAAACCGAATGAGTTGGAGCTTCAGGTAAAGCGCCTAACCAGTAACCAACCTCTTTTTTATTTCACTAGTTCGGACTTCCATTGTCTACTATATAAAATGATTTGAATTCTTTACACAAGATGAGGGACTGCCAATGGGATCGCCGCTTTCACCAGTCATAGCCAATCGCTATACGGGTTTTCAATAACTTTTTTAACAAAAAATAACATCCATAATTTCATAGAATTCGGAACCCATCCTTTACTACCTCCGCAGTGCACAATGATTTGTCGCGATCTTTTGTTTGCAGGCATGTTGGGCGTACACATTCTCGAACCATCAGTCCACTCTTTCGTAACTGTGTCATACCAAGTTTCGTCCAAATAGAAAATTTGCCGTTATTCTTCTCTATATTTAGTTATTTTATTTATTCAATTATTATATTTTTACTTGTAGGTTATTTCACTATCATTTCATTTCAGGTTTATTTTGGTTAATATAATTGTTATTTTCAGCTATTCATTTTCAATTCTTCTTTTTTAGTTGTTTCAGGGATTTCAAATCATTTTATATAGTAGACAATGGAAGTCCGAACTAGTGAAATTCATCATGAAACATTGTCAATCACCTTCAAACAAACCTCTTTTTTATTTCCCAACAACCACGCACGTTTATGGCAATAGAAAATAATCAAAAATGTTCACATAAGGGTTGAATATAAACCATAAGCACGAGAAACAAAATTTCTTCGATAGAGTTTAACGAAAAACTTTCGCCTCACCTTGTGTTCGGTGATGAGTTCGGCCCATCCCGGTACGAACTGCGGCTTCCTGAAGAACCACAGCGCGATAGAAATGATGAAACACACGCCAACCGCCTTCTCGTGGAACGACATGGGCCCCATCTTCTCCAGCTGATGGTTGATGAGCTTTTTGGCTACTGCCTCGCCTTGCTGACCGACCTTGATCTTCTTCGCGTCCGCCGAGTTGGGACGGAATAGACCCATGAACCAGTACTGCATCCATACGATGCCGGCATACATTATGATAAGCATGATGGGGACGTTGAGCAGCATCCATTTGGTGAATTCCACGCCTGAAAACGAAAAGAAGTTGCACTTTATCGAGTAATTGGAGACAATCGAAGTCACAGAACAAATCGGGGCTGACGGTTCTGTTGATGAAGCATTTCAGATCATACATAGGTTCAGGGTCACCAGGGGCTGCCCTCAAGTACTGTCTCCCCTTCTGTGGTCGATCCTGGTGGATAGTCTGCTTGATGCCCTCGACAGAAGAAAAGTTGATCTGCAAGCTTATGCAGATGACCTTGTCATCCTGGCAAGGTCCACGTCGGAAAGGGTAGCTTGTATTTCCTCCAAAGCGCATTGGACGTTGTTCACAGTTGGTGCCTGAGGGAGCAGATGTCTGTCAACCCCAGAAAAACTGTGATAATCACCAGAAGGAGAAAATTGGACGATCTAACGCCACTTTCCCTCAATGATGAGGTCGTTCCATTTGGAACGGAGGTAAAATATCTTGGCATTGTCCTTGGTAGAAGACTCACCTGGAACGCTCACTTGGAAACAGTTTTACACAAAGACAGACTGTCTCTATGGACATGTCGAAGGATTTGTGGTAAAACTTGGGGTTTAGGTCCCAAACGAATCCACTGGATTTATGTGATGAGTGTTAGACCAATGATCACTTATGGTGCAATTGCCTCGTGGCCGAAGGCTTTACAGAAAACGGCCCAAGCGAAGCTCTCTGGCTCACAAAGACAGTGGTGCCATCAGTACCATACAGTCNGAGATCCTTCTAGATCTACCTCCTCTAGATGGACTGCATACAGACTTGTGCATATTGCCAATTGCACAAATCAATTTAATGCAGAGTGCAACAGGCTGTTGGTTGACAGTGGAAGTCACAGCATTCTGGAAAAGACCTCTGACTTTATGTCTCCAACTGTCAACTACGAACTGCCTTATAAAGTACTATTCCCGAGTAGAGGACTGGATCCTGCGGGAGAAGGAAATATTAAGAGCAGATAGTTGTTGGTTCACAGATGGATCAAAAACACCTTCCGGTTCTGGTGCAGGTGTTTTTAGTCGCAGACCCAGGACAGAGATATCTTCCTGCCTAGGAACTTATGTGAGTGTATTCACAGCGGATATTTGAGCTATCGAATTATATGCGGACAGATTGGATAAATCCAACCTACACACAAGTCTCGGACAGTCAAGCGGCGTTGGTAGCTCTTGGCTCCTACCGATCAACGTCTAAATTGGTAGCAAATTGCCAAAAACGACTCTGCTCGATAGGAAGACTTAACAGATTGTCTCTGGTCTGGATTCCTGGCCATACTGTTCTGGAAGGCAACGAAGCTGTTGACTCCCTTGCAAAGGAGGGTGCTGCAAGCATCTGTTTTACGATTTTAACCATCACCAATCTACACAGAGAGGAATCGTTAAAACCCTAACTGCCAGTGCATTCAGTCTCTATAGTGAAAATCACACAATAAACTGTATTGGTGAGTTTTAACCCACATTATTTTCGAACTCCTGAGAACTCGAACTCCTGAGAAAATAAATGTCTGGGCAGGAATATTGGCAAATCATATTGTTGGTACTATATATCAGAGGAGAATCTGACTGGTGATTTATGTTTGGAAATTCATCTAAAACTCATTCACCACGGGGTGAAAATTCGTCTTAAAGGATCGCCGCTAGAGGGCTACCTTGTATATGAATCGACATAACATTTGACCCGAACGCTAGGGGTCATGTCGACCCCTAGCGTCCGGAAAGGTCAAATAAAAAAGTCGGAGAACGCTATATCACCGTTGCTCAGGTGTCGTCTTAACGGATCGCCGCTAGAGGGCGACCGATTACATTTGAGTCGATTGGCATGACCTTCAGGGTCCGCATTGGTCAAATGATAAAGTTGCTCCAAATGGCATAAAAACACTATATTTTCATGAAAAGAGGCTCCGCAGCTGACCTAACCTAACCTACCTAACCTAGCCTATCCAACCTAGACTAATCTACCTAACCTAACCCAACCTAACCTAACAAACTTTCTGCTTATACTTCGGGCATCGGAAGCGTCCAACACCCGGGTCATGCTCGATGACACTCATGGCACACCTATGGCTGTTGCACTTTTTCGTTGAACAAAGAAGGCCTTGCTGTTGAGCCCAAGTGATACCGTCCATCAGTGTCTTCGGAAGGGAATTTAAATTCCAAAGACGAACTGTTGCAGATAGTTCATTTTCTGAATTTGTTATACTTTTTTTGTACACATTGTATTCTCTCTAACAAGAGTTGTCAAATAACTTTCATTCATATATAATTGATAAGAAAATTGTATTGAACGTTTTTTGAATATATTTGAGTCTGTTGAGTACTTTAATAGTTTCCGATCCATATTTCGTCCTACATTCGACGTATTCAGTCACCGGGTAGGTGAATTTCGAATATT